TAACATACAGAGTGTTTACACAACGATGTTAATATATTAATTGCACAGTGTGAGATTCATTGGTCATAACAGAACTTTGTGAGATCACGATGAACTAATGTGACAGTTTTTAGTGGTTAAAAAAGGAGCGCTCTTTGCGAGCTTTCTAGGCAATGATTTAAAATGTAGAACTTTGTTTTTTGGCCACACACACGTTGCAAAGTTTCGGGAATGACATCCGCATATTTATGCTGGATTCGCTCTCGAAGTAGTAGTGATTGACACAGGGTGAATTCGGGTAATCTGGGACATTTTTTGCAATTTTGACTTCTGCGATTTATTTGGAGAGCTTCTTGATTGACAATTGCCCGCCCTTTTCTGTGTAATCACCCCATGACATCTATGCTAAAATTATAGTAAAAGTCCCGTTGACTAAATTTTGTTAGAACAGGAAATAAACCCACTGAAGTTTAGGTGTCCCAGATTACCCAATGTCCCAGATTACCCGAATTCACCCCTAGTGATAACCATAGCAATAGATGGGACAAAATATGTGAAAATGTGCATTAAGACAAGAGCACCCTCACTAATGTCAGAAGCACCCTCAGTGATTATTTCTTGGCTACTCTTCACCTGAATTAGAAAAAAAAGCTCTTCTGGTGTTCAGTTGTTCAGTGACAACGTTTGAGCGTGTACACGCAATATCGGAGCGAGAGCAGAGCCAATTCATAAAATAAAATAAAAAAAAAAAAAAAACAGGGGTTTCTTTTAAATAGTTACATTCAGTCCAGAATCATCCTCACCTGTGGAAGTAGAACTGGTAGATGTTGTGGAAGTGACCGGCTGTAAAGAAACTGAAACAAAAACAAATGCAAACAGATGTTAAATCAGAATCAGATGATCAATTAATGTGCTCTTCGTGAAGACAATATTAATTATGGACAGTGGTACTTCAATATTACAGTGCAGTCCAGCATCATCCTCACCTGTGGAAGTAGAACTGGTAGATGTTGTGGAAGTGACCGTCTGTAAAGAGACTGAAAAAATAATGAAAACAGATGATAAATCAGAATTAGATGCTGAATTACGGTGTTATTCAAATAAAAATTGAAGGGTTTCTTTAAAAAGGTTACATTCAGCCCAGAATCATCCTCACCTGTAGATGTTGAACTAGTAGATGTTGTGGAAGTGACCAGCTGTAAAGAGGCTGAAAAAATAATAAAAACAGATGATAAATCAGAATTAGATGCTGAATTACGGTGTTATTCAAATAAAAATTGAAGGGTTTCTTTAAAAAGGTTACATTCAGCCCAGAATCATCCTCACCTGTAGATGTTGAACTAGTAGATG